AGGAGACCATCCAAACGATCAATGGGATTAGTTTGGATTTCTGCCCATTGACAAATCACCCTTGCCTACTATGTCTCTTTAACTAATATCCCGAAATGAAAACGAATAGATTTCTCCCAAAGTGATTTAATCCAGATATCAGTAAGACAAAGTGACCTGACAAACAATAAAGATGATAATGAGTACAGGCAACCAGGCACAATACAAAGCAAGAATTATACCAATCCACTTACATTGAAATGAGGCTTTTTCAGAACAGATTATTTTAATGTAAGAAAGTTAAGAAATAGATTATTCATACCCAATGAGTATAGCCCTAACCATTAACAAGCTTTTGAGAACAGATCTAAAGACAGACTAAAGCCCTAGACCAGGCCTGCACAACTCAAATTACCACGGAGGGCCGCAAGCATAAATCTGAAGACCCGGCGGTCCGCAAACTTTGCCACATACATATTTTCACAAGATGAACTACAAATCAAAATAATATTGTGAATTGTGAAACAGTTAAATTTAATGAAACACTTTCATTACTGGGGAGCTTAAAAATATGAAGAATCTTATTTTCTTGAGTATAAACAAGGTTACAGTATTTTGCATATGAGATGGCAAATATGTATTTAGTGGTTCACGGTTCATCTACCTTGAACCCACGTTCATTTTCAATATTTCTTTTTTATTAAAATTAGGTATTGCGTGTTGCAGTATAAACTGACTGCCAGGAAAATATTTTTACTCAGGTTCAGTTTTGTAAAATCGTCCCAAATATATGTAGACAATTTATTTAGTCATATCTACCATTATTGGATATTTCCATTGTTGCTAGACAAACAATCCGTTTAGTAGCACTAGATCTTCCTCTGTTGTACTTTTTGACTGGTAAATTACATTTTTCTACAAAATCTGCTCCCAATTTATTTGAAATTTACAATAAATAGCAATCTTTTGTGCGAGAATTTCTGCACCATTCATAAATAAAGAAATTGTTTTTTAATTTCGAAATTTGAATCAAAAAGAACTTAGTTCCATGAACTGCTAGTAATAAATAATGGGGTTATTAATAGGTTGCTAATATGCACTAATGGAGTGAGATTATATACCGATATTGTTTAACCGTGATTCAGTCTGAACACTGAGATATTTAAATCCAGGGTTTCCCAAACTGGAGGGCGAGGGGTGGAGCGACGAATTTTAGGGTCTGCGAAGGCACACCAATTTTACACAAAGTTCGATGTTTATGCAAACTAGTGCAAAACATATATCTCACGATTCGAATATGATCGGAGTAGAGGCGCGCTTGCATAACAATGCCGGCTTAGATTGTTTAGATCCGAGAAGTGGCACCAAATCACCCGCGGTGGCCGCACAGAAGTATCTAGCGGACGCATTGCGGCCCGCGGCCGTATGTTGTGCAGGCCTGCCCTAAACAGTTAACCATAACAAGAAGTAATCAAGTAATCAGCCAATAATCGCGATGCAGTTAACCATACGTAAACACACAAAAGTAAGTAGTACAGGATAAATCAGTCAATTGTTCAAACCAGGGATCATATATCAAATTCATTCCTAACATGCTATTTATATTTTGACAACCAAATAGCGGAGGAGGAAATTATTCAAATTTATTATTTAGGTGACGGCTTCTCGGTAACCATTACTGGTTTATCGCGTCTCCTCTTTCACACTGAAATGCATTTTTTTCTTTCTTTCGCCATTCTGTATGTACAATGTGTATTTTCGGCATGTGTGGAATAAATTACTGATTACTGATAAATGGGTATTTGGTCCTATATACAGCCATATTCCTAATTATACTTACTGTTTTAAACAATAAAACAAACATAAGCCGATACCGTACACTCGAATTCACAAGCAATGTAAGCACAATGATATCTCTTGTTCATCGTCTATCAAATTTGTAAATTAACATCCATGTAAATTGTTTATCCGGTGTTTAAACCATATATCCATCAATGTTTCAAACCTGCTGTCTATGGACAGCCCAAAAGCTCTCCATAGTGGAGGCCATCTGAATGAAGATTGAGATCATACATGCATTCTTTTTTCCAACTATACTATAATGTTTTCAGCATAGAAAAAAATACTTATCCGTCAATACCTTACGGATCCCTTGAATCCATCACAATGTTATCCCAAATGTTTCATCATCTATCAAATTTGTAAATTTATATTCATGTAATAAGTAATTCGTTTGCCCGGTGTTTAAACCATATACAGGGAGTCCTCGACTTACGACGTTGTTCAGTTCTTGAGACGCGGTGTAACCCGAATTTCAGTGTAAGTCGGAACATACTGTACAGTACATAAATTACTTTATACATATCGTACTGTATTGTAAAGTATAGCACTGTGATAAAATGTACAGATAATGCAAAAAGTACTTTATTGAAAAAACAGAAACAATTCCATATTACATGATTAAAAGCATACATACCTCGTCAGTACAGTGTTATCTTTTATATTTTTCATGGAGTGCGATCGTAACCTCGAAACAGCGTTATGGAGTGCGCGTTCGTAACCTCGAAACAGCGTAAGTCGCGACCGTCGTAACCCGAGGACTCCCTGTATCTACCTCTATTCCTAACCTACTGTTTATTAGGGCTAGTCACTCCGAATCGAATTTTCGAATCGGTTCATAGCAAAATTTCGAATCGCCGCCAGCTTGTTTTTTCCTTCTCGACAATGTTCAAGGTGAATTACCCAATTTTCTTGAAACCATATTTTTTCAATACAATTCTGACATATGACTATTTTCTGCAGTGTGTTATTGATAAATAGGTGTTTTTCATTGTGTATAAAAGCTTCGCAATCTGTCTTAGTGATTTATTCATGTTTTTAGTAATACATTTGTTGACAGGACCAATTACAATAAAAAGTAGCATATAATTACATATCTCCCATTGACTCCAAAGCAGTCAAAATTCAATTCGAAAAAAATATTCGTTTCGATGCTGAAATCATCATGTCTTCAAAAATGCCCATCCCTATACCCTCTATATGACATCCCTCAGGTGATGTACACAGGCAACAATTTGAATAGTAATCAGGAGCATATATCCCACCTTACTCTCAGTCATATCCATTGTATTTAAAATAAAAAGCAATTTATTATCAACGAATACCGTATCCAACACCCGAATCCACCACCAATATAAGCACAATGTTATCACTATGCTTCATCGTCTATCAAATGTGTAAATTAACATCCATGTAATTTGTTTATCCGGTGTTTAGACTCCTGCGTTTAGATCGTGACAGATAAAATGTTGCAATGTCTGTGAAATTTATGAGATACTCGCCTGATTGCATATTTGTGTGGATATTAAAATGGAGTGATTGTTTCTCCTAAAAGAACGCAACACCTATTTTAAATATAGTAGGCGCGATAGTCTAATGCAGGGTTTCTTAACCTTCTTTCTCTCGTGGCCCATGTGAGTGGCACAGAAAATTTTGTGGCCCATGAACTTTCTCATGTAAGAAGAAGCAGAAAAAAAAACACGAAAAGAGGGCCTTTTGCATAGATTGACAGTTCCCCTTAAATATTTAAAATGAGAATTTACCACGCAGTGGAAAAAGCAGCATCATCAATCATTGCTGTAACAATCAAAGTTAAGCTTATTTTTCACTAAAAATACTGAAGAAAGTAGCGAATCGTTGGCTGAATAGGCTACCAAGTCTCATTATCTTTAGGTAGCCCACTCGGGAAAATAATTGCCCACTCTTGCAGTAGGCAGTGCTGAGCCAAAGATATTTCGATTCTCGCAAAAATAAAGTAGATTTTCAACAAGCAGTGGAAGTTTGTACATATACGTCACATGGGGAAATTTGCATAATTTAAAAATGTGAATGATAATACAATACTTCCATACAAAAAGTAGCTAACTTTCACTGGTAAAATTGAAATATTTTATAATTTGACTTACACAAATAAATAGGTACTCGCGAAGTATGGAACCAAGATGGCGGACACCGGAACGTAGTATGTGTACCCGGTTAGGGTTAGGCCATAATTTCACGTTCAAATACTTCGGGAGTCACTCGGCTAGTCGGAATAGAACTAAAATAAGGAAAATTGAAATAAAATTATGGCCTCATCCTAACCTTGTACACATACTACGTTTCGGTGTCCGCCATATTGGTTCACGGTGCTCCTGAAGTATGCGCACCAATATGTCGCACAACCTGAACCCTGACCTGGTACACAACCTGAGTTCAGGTTGTGCGCCATCCTGGTGCGCATACTTCAGGAGGTCCCTAAATATCAGTTGTCCCCTCCCCATCATATTCATGCCTGACAACATGCTAGTCATAAGATACGTTTTAATTAATTTATTCACAAGTAAGGAACAATAAAAAGCACTTTAATCCAAATATAAAGAACAAAAAATGAACAATCAAAAAAGCAAAAATACATAAGATATGAATTAAGTTTCAATTTAATACTGTGGTTTTATATAGAGAAGTTTGCTTATGATTAAGTTAGTAGTTCAACCTTTTTGAATTGTGAATGCTACTACTGATTCCTGTGATCAGGACTGGTAAGAAAATTGTAAGTCGCATGTCGAGTCGAGTCACGGGTTAATCGGGTCCGGGGGCGTGGCCAGGATTTTAAAATGTAGTAGGGGGGTCTGAAACTTTGCAATGTATGATGCGGAGAATTTTTTATTTATTCATAATTTAATAAGAGGGGGAGGGGATGGTCCTGATTTTGGGAAAGTGGTTAACCCTTTCTGTCGGTAATAATTTACTGATTTGTGTATTCACATTTTAGATGAGTTTCAACGATTTTAAGTATAACGCCACGTATAAAGAAAGAAAATTTAGAAAAAGTTTGTTTGGCTTTAGCAATCAAAAACAATTCTGAAACGAGAGAAATTATAAATAAAGCATTCTCAAAATAACCATCAAATTTCGCAATATACAGACAATTCATATGCGTTTTAATTTTTCTTCCGATTCTCCAGCAGTTATTGTATTAGTTTAATACTTTTTAGTAGCAAATATAATCCGAGTAGTAGCAAATTTAAAAACCCACAATTTTTTGAAATTTAGCTGTGTCATTTTTTTACTCCATATAAAAGTTTTCTTCAACAAATGTCAACGACGAACGATCAAACAACGATCACGTGACCAAAGAAGTTGAGAAATACTTTATGAAAAACAATGTCCTCGATAACGTCATCGTCGATACTAATCGGCTTTTTTGAGGCATTTTCATATTTCTGCTCTGAACAAGACTCAGTACATCTATCCAGTGATACGTGAGGAGGTACTAAGGGACAGATTCGGCAATTTGTACAAATATCAGTACTGCATCTTTAACACCATCAAAAATGTTCGAGCTCGCAATTTCAAACCCGATTTTTTTATTCTGATGGTCTTATCTTCATCTCGACATGCTTCAGTGAATAAGACCCGCCCCTCCATTCTGACCAATAAATTCCATCTTGGAACTTACTCCGGTAATGTCCACCCCTGAAATAAAATATAGTAAAGTTAGAAAATCGAAAAATTTTGCCACTCAAGCTTTGACATTTGAAAGATGATATAAACATATTTATGAGCGTAAACTATTGTGAGTCGTGTACAAATGGCTGCGATAGACGAGGTAGTGATAGAGGAGTTCGGTGATATTATGGGGTCAGAACTTAATAAAGTCTTATTTATTGAATTTCCTAATTTCAGCCTAAGAATCAAACCCACTAAAAACTCCACATATAAATGTAGCCACCCCACCGTGTGCAAATGAAAGCACAAGCCTAAGCAATTGCTAAAGATTAAATATATAGCTGCTAGTAAAAAGACATCAAGATTGGCACTAAACTTTCGGGCGTCTCGCCTTGCCTATTGTACCATGTTCGGGTGAATTTATATAATATAAGTATTGGCCACAAAACGGCAAAAATAAACAAAACGGACAAAGTAGATAAAACATTTGATGAGAAAAACGAACAATCATTAAATTAATACAAGCAAAATATTGTATATGTTAGTATTTGTCATAGATCAATATTCTGAGCAACGACTGTTTCAGAAGCTGTTGCATGGGGATTTTGAAAATCCTGGATGCGACCCTGATTGCAAGTCAGCGATTCCGACGATTTTAAGTGATGATACTTACATATAGTAGACTCCATTGAGGTTTGAATGAGCACAATGTGTTGTAAGCCACCACCCTCCTTTCCTGGTAACTTCGCACATTTCTCAGCGAAAACGGGTCGTTTCGAACGTCTTCGTTGTGAATTTCACTGTTGTTTATGCCACGGTCAAGTGAAGTCTTCCTGCAGTTCCAACTGGTAAAGAACGAATAGTGAAAGTGCATTGCCTTTGTTGTATAGAGCGCTGATTTCCCCCAAGATATGGCGTACGGAGAACTGGGTGATCACAGTGTTACCAAATTGAAATATAAATTTTATCGGATTTCTAAAATAATCCTGTTTCCCAATGGACTTCACTTGCAGTTCGGGCCGTTGTCTACACAATTTTATTCAAAATGCTAGAATGGGGTTTGTAACCAAAATCTTTATAAAGTAATGAACAAACACGGCCCGAACGCTCTAAACTACTTAGATTCAGAGTTTTTCTCAACCTGGCCGTTCACGTTACATTGGGAGACACGGGTGGCGCTTCTGAGAGCGACACGGCTCATAGAAGTTCCGAAGTATCCGGTTGTCCACTAAGCTATTGTGCCTAGATTTTATGAAGATTTTTCTAAATGTACCTATAAGAAAAAAAGTTAACTATGAAAAAATCAGGATTTACCTGTAATGCGCAACTTTCAGTCTGTAACCCTCGTCCTGTCCTTCTAAGTTTAAAACTCCCGTATCAACAAATGTTTTTCTGCCGCTCCAATCTTCCATATCCCGATATGAAGTTTGTAGTTTACTCCTGGGTTGAATTCGTGAGATGATGAATGTTCTCTAAGCCTGGGAAGAAATGCATTGAATATTGTTAATGGCGTGGTGACGAGACAGGAGCGGTGTATATTTGGAATTACCATGGTTGAAGCAAGTGAGTTCGAGCATAATGGCCACTGCATATTTGTATTTACCTGACAAAAACGCGAAAAATTAATTTTCTTTGAAAACGGAGAGAAAAAAGAATCCCAATTTTAATATTTTTTTCTGTTGAAAACGATTCGAAAAATGACAAAAATTTGGCAAAAAAGCACCGCTTATAATGAAGATGCAAGTAAATCAAGAAGAAGCCTCATACCACAATGTACCCGGAATATTGGTGAACTCGCTGGTCTGGAGACGACGCTCGATGATTTTTTTCTTCATAAGTTCCAACATTGTGTGGTTTTATCTATTCAACTTACCAAGCCAAAATTCTCCTTCCAATGATTCCAAATCCTCTTTGATAACTCGCAAAGTTTCGATAGAAATTCACTTTCCTTCTGATCTCGTTGAATCACTGTCCAGCCGCCTGGGTCCTGTTAAAATAAAAGAGAGGTTTGGATAAAATAAAATAAACATAACGTAGGCATTTCTCTGATTTAAAAAAAATGGTTTAGTGGTGAACATTTTAGTCCTAAACGCATCGCAGGTTTAAGAATCTCAGCTTCAGATCTTCATGTCTAGCTATCTGACCAAGAGTACAACCAATTTGGGTAGACGGATAACGTAGCATTAATGATCCAACAACCATGTTAATACTTTTATTCATGTCCAATTATCTTCAGAATAACAGTAGCATTTCTATACCTGGGGTGATAGGTGTATTAATACAATATATTAGAACATTTTGAACGGGAATGATCCAATTTTGCTATTATTTGTATTTTTGTCGCATTTCCTGGAGAAAACATGGAGCATATTTTTGATTTTGGAAAGTTTGAATCTTGTTTAGTGCCCGTATATTTCAGCATTGCTCTCTTGTTCACTTTGTAAAAATCATGTACGGGACCAAACTGGGTAAAAGTATTCTTTTTCCACATAGATTCCGTTTATGCTAACCGATGTGTGATACATTTATCTCTGAATAGTTCCTTATAATATTCATCACAAAGAAACAAAATCCAGAAAATGGTTTATCAAAAGGTCCAACCTGCAATGTCTACATGACTATGCAGTATTCAAACATCAAGATAAGATTGACATTCTGAACAATTGTAATGAAAACCAGAGCACGCATATCTTGTCACGCATGATTTAAAAATGCCGTCACGATGACAACGGATGACGTCAATGGAAGTTGTTGCAAGATAAATGTGACACTAGGAATGATAAATATTAATTGACCATGGCATCCGCGTGCGTCATTTTCAACAATGCCGCAAAAATTCAGTGATTGCAAATGAGTTGAATTGAGTTGGGAAGCCTATACTAATTCCAATGTTTTTTTCATATAGATAAGTAGTTTATGTTATGAATATTCGACTGATTTAATATTGAAAAATCCTCAAACAATAATCTTGAATATAGTATATGGTGTCTATAAATTCTTAAATTTTTGTTGAGGTTGCAAAGGGATACCATATATTGTTTTAGCCCTCACAGATGTATTAAATGAAGTAAAAATTTTAAACAATAACAAAACACAACACAACAAACAAAAATGACTTCATAACAAAATTAAAATTCTAAAAGGGTTTTATGGACACCCTGGTATAATAAAAATAATGAATAAGACTCATTTAAAAGCAAAGGTGTATGCCATAAGGCTTTTGCATGAACATATAATAAAGGTTTGTGTTCTTTAAATTGTTCGCACGAACGTTCAATTGCGATTTTTGGCTTTTGGCACTTTATCAAATACATTTGATATACTGTATATTGAATAGATACCTTCTAATGAGACATGCACTTGAAAATATAGATAAAGCAAAGTAGCGAATAACATAAAAATTTTCATGAACACAATGTATTCTATATAGCAGTAGTTTCCAAACCGAGGCCCGCGGGCCAATTACGGCTCGCGTAACGATTCAATAGGGCCGGTCAAACCTAAGAGAAATAGTTTGACCATTCATGTTTTTACGCTTTTGTGTCTAGATGCCGCAATTTGTTACGTGCTTATCACAGTTTAGGCTCGTGTATATTCGTAATATTTCAATTATACCAATATCTTAATAATATATACCGATAGCGGAATTGTCACCTTTCGGGCGCTCCCCTATTTTGGCCCACGAATATCCTTTCACTTCTAATTCCCCCTACCCCCGGCCAATCAACGGTGCTCCAGAAGTATGCGCAATAAGATGTCGCACAACCTGAATCCGGACCGGTACACACATACTAGGTTCAGGTTGTGCGCCATCTTGGTGCGCATACATCTGGAGGTCCCAATCAACTTTAGAAACTACTGCTCTATAAGTATTTTGTAAAATTCCTATCACTGAATTCAATGGCACGCAAAATCATGATAGCCTATTATTCATATTTGATATCGTCTGCACGGTACTTGGTAATCCACATTGATAAAGCCAGGAGAAAAATTTCATACCAACAAATTGTAAAAACGATTTATGATTATCCCTTCGCACGAACGTACAAGAGGGAATTTTGGCCTTGACACGCAAAATCATAATACTTCATCAATTGGAACTCATATTGTCCATTGATGATATTGACGCTCCAGAAGTGTGTGTGCCAATATGGAGGTAACTTAATTTGTTCCCCTACCCCACATCAAGTTGTGTAAAGGACTGAAAGCCGTGGGAAGGGTATATATTCTTTTGGCTAACAGAGACAGTCCCCAAACTTGTAATAAGACTAAAATAAGGAAAATCGGAATGCAATTATGGCCTAACCCTAACCTGGTACACACACTACGGAAGTTTCCAAGAAAATAGATAAAGGAAAGAGAGAAATATAGGAAGATGTATTAAAAGTGGTATACATTATGAGTCATTTGGGTACTCCCGAAGTATGTAAACCAAGATGTCGGACAGCGGAACGTAGTATGTGTACCAGGTTAGGGTTGGGCCATAATTCTATTATAATTTTTTCTTATTTTAGTTCTAATCTGATACACATACTACGTTCCGGTGTCTGCCATCTTGGTTCACATACTTCGGTAGTACCGTCATTTGCGCGAAAGTACAAATGGGACATTGGCATGCAAACTTGTAATTCCCCATCAATTATATTTAATGTCCATTCACGGCATCGGATGGTTGGACACAAACATTAATATCGATAAAGCCGTTACACGAAAATTAAGATTTAATGCTTTATAAGACGTTCGCAAGAGTGTGAAATTACGGTTCGTGTCCTCAGTACGATAAATTATGATACTTTTGTACCTTTTTCTTCATACGCAATCATTTAGAACTGATATTTTTTATTGAGGATACCTGCCATATTAATAGAAAAAAGTCTACTTTATCAAGAATTATGCTTTATAAGACGTTCGCAAGAGTGTGAAAATACGGTTCGTGGCCTTAGTACGATAAATTAATGTACTTTTCGATAATACATAATCCGTTAGAATTGTTATTCCCGATTGATTATACCTGTTATATTAATGAAACTCGGCAAATTATTTCTTGCCGTTCTCGTAAAAAGATTCATTACAAGTCGTTCGCACGAACGAGTGAGAATTTTGCGGCATTCGCACGCGAAATCGTACTACATTATCTATTAGAAGTTATAGTATTCATTGACAAAGAATACAGAAGCTACAGATTAAACTCTCATTTCTTATTGTGCTTGAAAGTGCAAGATGTTGCTTACAGCAGAATTGAACAACAAGGAATATTTGACCCAAAACTTGCAATAATTGCAAGTAAAAATTGCTCACACGAAGTTGGAAGCAATAATAGACCTGAGTGACGTAGTAGGAATCCCACGGGGACGGTCAGGGTTATTTTTGTCACATTTATAATTGTTTTTGTTTCAAGAAACTACCGACATTTCTGTCGAAAAATAAACTTGATTATAATATTGAGGACAAGTGGTTACAGGCAACTCTTCTCAAACTAAAAGTTTTTTAACGTTGTGTTCATGTGCAGCAAACTTTCTTTAATTACATAGAATAATCATATTTGGTCTTGCTACAGCATCCTTGCATTATATGTATGTATGTATGTATGTATGTATGTATGTATGTATGTATGTATGTATGTATGTATGTATGTATGTATGTATGTATGTATGTATGTATGTATGTATGTATGTATGTATGTATGTATGTATGTATGTATGTATGTATGTATGTATGTATGTATGTATGTATGTATGTATGTATGTATGTATGTATGTATGTATGTATGTATGTATGTATGTATGTATGTATGTATGTATGTATCTATGTATGTATGTTTATTTGCCTCAGAAATGTATCAATATCTGCATAATAAATAAACGGTAAAACAGAGACGGGATACATGTTCAAGACCTTACTATGGACTAAGACACATGCACCCCTACTAACAATAATAAAAGCAGTTTAGGACTGCTGCGGTATAATAGGACAACAGGCATGAAATAGACCATACAAATAAAACTCTAGTAAAATACACAGGACAAGGAGATACGACACAACGACGTTATTTAAAATATAGTCAGTTAGTTTATGACACGTTCATGTCCCGGAGTGAGAGGATGAAGATGGGTCGCTAAAATGATATGTTTTTAGAATGAATCTCACGAAACACTTAAAGATTTGTTCGGGACATAAACTTGCCAGAAACCAACGCTAGATGCAGACGGATTCAGCAACGCAAAAGCATAAAAGAAGGATAAATAGTCCCGCAGAAACCCGATCTTCCCACTTTCATTTGAGGGCTCGAGACCTTGGTCACAACAAATCTGTTACATGACCTAATGGTCATGTGGTTACATGCAAATTCATAAAACCGTTTAAATGACGTTGGGAAACCAATAATATACCTAAATGACGTGACAAAAATTCCACGGGGACCGTCATTGCTATTTCTGTGCACTAGGTATAAATAGCCGACAACTAAGGTCGTATGATAGACAAGTTAGCTATATGCAATACATAAGGTTGTTTAAATAGATTTAATATAACGCGGTTAACGGTTTGGTCGGTTACGGTTTTACGGATTAAGTGTTTTATAATAATTAATTAATTATAGACTGGAAATGTTGAGCACTAGACATATGTTTTGTATAAATGTTCCTCATATATTAAGCTTATCGACATTGCTTCATTGGGAGATGAATGTCTCAGCCAAGAGCCAAAAAATTGCCATCAATTCTGCTATTTTATACACGATCTAAATAGACGTTGAGTTTAATAAAGCTAATCTTGAAATGAAATAAAAGACCAGATAAGTAGGCTAAGCGTGAAACCCAATATAATTAAACAAAATTTCGACACCTGGCCTGTAAAAGACAAAACGAAATGTATTGGAGCCAAAAGAGGAGAAAACCCAGCTACAAAAATTGCCTCTAATATTTGATACGTTTTGAATCCAAACTAAACATCATTCACTTTGACAGAATTAAAACCTAGAACAAGATAGAGTAATAAGTTATAATAGCCTTGTTTTAGATTTGCTGACACGTCTGAAAGTAAATTTTATTAAAAAAAATTCAACACCTGGATTATAAAAGACAAAACATGTCGTTTTGGAAACCAAAACAGACATAACACTCATACAAAATTCGTAAATTTCCACTCGATTCTACTCGTAAAACTAATTTCTCTAGACACGTGATTATAGCGTGATAATGTAACACGCACGTTTGGTCGCATGCACACAAACAAATACCGGCTCTTCAATTATTTGAAATTCATATGAAGTTTACTTTTATTTTGATTTGTTTGAAAGAAACAGCTGGTTTGGCAACAATAATTTGAAATTACACTTGGCTTGAGATCACATGGTTGAATGATTTTTAAACAATGAACATTATTATGACACGCTTCAATGAAGTTTGGCAAAATAATCGAGATAGAGTTGAAACATGAAACGAGAAAATGCTTTACTCAAGAATTTGCTGACGATGAATCGAACTTATACAGCGTGCGATCACAGGTCTAGGACAAGTAGAAATACAATAAATCTATGATCTCTTACACCAGTGGTTTTGTGGCATGTGTCCCTGTTTATCATTCCAGTGGTATTTATACTGTTAATATGATTGATAGATTCCAAATTCATTTCGTTTAAACAATTCATGGTCAAAAAGTGAAAATACCCTGTGAAATTTTCTTATCAAGCAATGAAACAAGAATAAACGGGCATTTTTCTTGCAAAGAGAAACGTAAAATCAGTTTTGCGCCCTCTCCAACCGCTCTGTGGCCGCCGTGGGAGCCACGCCACGAACCCCCGATTGGAACCGCTGTCTTACACCCAGGATGACGTGGTAGATATGGGATTATTTATGGTTTTTACCCTGTAATGCTAACCCCTGTAAAATGTAATATTCCACTGAACGGTAGTTATGATGAGAACACGATCAACGCGATTCGAGAATCTAGCAGCTCTGGATAAACCCAACACAAACGTTACAGAAATACATTTGTGTTGGTGTGCAGCAACGTGAAATAGTTATCTTCACTGTTACCACAGCATCATTGAACTTTAAACGTACGAGTCCACCGATGCAAAAGCATGGGAGAAAAATAAAAATTTTATCTAGAGAAATACATTTGTGTTGGTGTGCAGCAAGACTCTTGAATAACGTGGAATATTTATCTTCACTGTTACCACAGCATCATTGAATTTCAAACGTACGGGTCCACCGATGCAAAAGCATAGGGGAAAAATAAAAAAATTTATCTACAAAAATATATTTGTGTCAGAAAGTCGTGAACTCTCGAATCACCTAGGATATTTATCTTCACTCTTACAGCATCCTTTCATTATACGCATAAGGATCCACTAGCACAAAGGCATATGTCATATAAGTGAGATAAGTAGATAGCATCACGTAACCACTGATACTTGGAACTGATAGTTGGAATAAAGTAACGTACAGTACTATATATTACGCCATTGACAGACATGTCTAATTTTATCTCATGAACTTCTGGTACAAGTCCAAGTTTCTTTCCGCATTTGGAAAGGTCAAATAGTTCGGTTCAAATGTTATTACCCGTGCGTGTGATTTGTGCACATGGTGGTAATTTATTACTATCATGTCTTTCAACGCTCCTTTTTGTGTCTCCAAAATTTCGTTGTGTGAACTAAATTTGTAATCTTCTACCGAAACGATTTGAAGATACCATAACTCTGTTGGCATTTTGTCAGTGATTTTGAAACATTAAAATATATATAGATTTTTTTTTAATGTTTCTAACAGTTTACCGAGTTATGATTGTGAAGTGAGAGCAAATTCACATCTCTAATACCGTTGTTTTCTAGTTTTACGTACCAGATTAACAAGGTAAATGCTACATCATAGTTTTTATCGGTAATTTTTTAATTGCTAAGTTAGACTGTAACAGCCAACAGCCGGGGAACGTGTGTTTCACGCGCCGTCCGGTTTTAAAGGGTTTTCAAGCCGCATTTCAGAATGAAGGGGGATCCGACCCTCACCCCCTGGATAAGCCCTTTGTTAAAGAGTTAGACCTAACTGTGTTGGCATCACATATCACACATCTCGGGTTTAAATCCTATGTACCTCACCAAATAGGGTAATACCCAACCGAACCGAAAATATTTTTTTCTTTAAAAAAAATGCTTTTTGCATATATCAGTTGCTATTTCTCTTTCTATCACGCCTTGTGTGAGGCGGTTGGTTTGACAACCTTTCAGCTATTCTATTCAGGTCAGAGTGCCAACCCCATGGCATCGTGCCCGCTAGTGGCGCGGAGGGATTTTCAATGCATGGTAGAATATCAGCCAACAATCTTCCAATTTCTCAGAAATTTGAAACGAATAATCGGATTAGGGTTAAAGATCAATCGTGTCTTTTGTTTACTGACACTGTAGCACTTATTTAAAAAAAATAATAGGACTTTATGCTAATATAATTTTTACAAGATGTCCACATCAAGCAAGGCTTTTAAACAAGAATTACTGAATTTTGAAAAGATGATATTCTTTCGTATTGAGATAGCCAATCAAACTCATTTCACGCAATAAAGAGGGGTTATGAGGTTCCAGGAATGAGAGCTTAAAACCGAGTTTACTGTTCAGTCATAAAAACTCAGCTCGATAACAAAAAGAACACTGATTCACAACACTTTTTCATTCACAGTTTACAAAATCATCAACCGAGTCTCTAGCATTTGTGGGGAATAATATTGTTTGAATATCAATCCAAAAAGGCTAAACTCAAAAAAGAAAACTATTTACTATTTAGTGACTATTTATGGAAATTCTTTAATGAATATCGCTTCAAACTTTGATCAGCATACCAATTTGAAAACCATATAATTTTTTGTAATTTTTACAAATAAAACTTTTTTTTAATTTTAACAGTCGCCCTTTTGCCTTTTACCCTCCATATGTTATTAGCTCAACCATCAATTTGTTCTGTGTAAATGACACCGAAATTGATTTAGCATTACACGACCGTATATTTTTAAACAAACTTAATTAACAATTCATCGCTTTCGCACTTGTATGGGGCCAGTTATTGCGACCTCGCTTGAACAAGCCAATTGGAAAAAAAAGTCTAGTCTGTTTAAATATAATATTTGAGACCACTGGTATTAAAAGTAAAATAATGAATCAAATTTAAGTCACCTGTTATTGCGTATGACAGAGATAATTTTGTGAATTGTGCGAGAAATTAGAGTTAAATTTAACGATCTTTCTTAACATAAAAAGTTTAAATACTCTCAGTCAACACAAGATAATTACAACTCTGACTCAACGCCAATTTCCTCGCCGTCATAGTGTGTATGTGTCAAGAATATTTTCAGAAATTTCCCTGCTTTCGGTTTCCTATACATAACTAGGCTATGAGACTATGAACGGGCAGCCACTGTAAAGTTATAGTCGAAAGGTCGAAAGGTGGTATTTCAAAAAAAATATATTACAAAAAAGTTGGTGCTTTTAAATTTATTCTCTGATCATATCTCGGATAAATATTCACAAAGGGATTTCAGTAAAAAGGTTACAGAAGTTTGAAAATAAAAAACTCTTTATTTCCCCAAAACAAGCCATGGGTTAGGGTTAAGCAGTGTCTACCCTACCCGATTTATTGCAACTTGGGTGGAGCGATGGACGTGGAAATTGCAACGAAAAGTCGGGCGGAGCCACTCTTTCGTCACGAAATTTGGTGATATAGCTTTTTTTTTATCCTTTGGTTTGTCAGCTAGAGAATCATTGGTTATAGAATCACAGTATGAGTATCCATCCACCCACCCTCCCGACCACTTGTATAATAAACCTCAATCATGAACATTTTAACCATGAAAATGATCGTTTCGCAATCTTATGGACTTTGATCACCGAGAGAAAATTGAAATCTTCTTATTATTTCAGATCCGGACTAATATAATCCAATATTATAAATAGGGGATGCTGATTTCGATGACTGATATATGTTTACCTACGCCTGTCAATATCGGCAAGTAAGCGGACGCGAAAAAGTAGTTTATTTTTAAGCTTGTCTCTCTGATCATATCTTGAAGCAATATTTCAAAAAGAAGTTACAAGAGTATAAGAATCAAAAACAATTCTTTTCATTTTCTCGGAAAAGCTACGACCTTTGAGGTTGAAGCACGCGTTTTATTATTTTAAATATGGACCCGACTTTTAGAGACCGAAACCTTACCGGTTAAGCGTTATCTACACATTTATTGACTAGGGTGAAGAAGTGGTGGACATCAAGTTTGAGTTTGGATTTTTCTTTATGCTGCAAACCAAAGATGAGCAGGAACGCGCATGTGCTATCATTCCACTTGGGATTGTGGCTGTGTTTAGTTTAGTACACGCGCATGTGCTATCCTTCCCCGTTTGTTTCATACGGACATGTAATTGCCTGCCGTAGAATTCTTGATTATGAAATTTACAATGTGATTGTCCGCCATCACTAGATCATTTCTATATTGCCTTCTCCTATGCACATTTCAACCATGATAATTAAGGATCGTTTCGCCATCTTTTGATCACCGTGACAAAATTTTAATTCGCCATTTTGGTATACATCCGGATTAACACAATAGTTTACTTCTTCTAAGAACTAATTTAGGAATTGTTTATTTAATGACAGATATATGTCTAACAATGCTTGTCAATTGTTTCTCAAATATGCTTTAAATAATTCGGAAGTTGAGTTTCATGAGGCATTTGTACACCTTTACTGGATTTGACTCTGTAAGGACCAGGCCGGGAGAGTTTCAACAAAAAAACTTAAAATTTGCATTTGTAATTTGCATTTACAAACCGTACTTGAAAATATATTCGTATCTTACTAAATCGTACCTGTTCAAAATCGCACCAGACTTTCATTTTTCTACTCAGCGATGGAAGAGTTAGAATGTATATTCCACTTTCTTTGCTCGCGTAAAGTTGAATATCCACGCAGTTCGTGTAGGAAGCTAAAATGAGAAATTAAACGATTGCTCAGAGTCTTGATCAAATAAACAATAACAAAATGACTGAAATGGACTTTCATCGAGATGAGTGTCTTTTGCTTTCGCTTTGAGTTTTTTTTTCATAAAACGCCAGACCCTTTCTAACACTATTGCAATGCAATAAAACTGTTTCTGGCTGTAATATCCGCACAGTCAGCAAATATGAATACACCAACACGAAGGCAGAAAGAATGGAATGATAGTTCGGTAGACGCCAGTGTCAGTTTTTATTGTCTTTCAAGACACGCCACGTTAAGATCCGCGATAAATGTCCTAGGATGCGTATACATATAGTATTTACTTGGGCTCATCTTAAAATACTCCATTTACGGCGCCCCAGAAAAGTGTGTAACAAAATGGACTAATTTTGTTTGCCTACTTTACATCGAGTTGTGCAGGGGGATAAAATTATAGTCTAACCCTAACCTGGTTCACACGTTACGGGGGACCCTATTTACGACCACCCCCTCCCCCCTGTTTTCATCTATATCACATTTTATTTAATAATCTATGATTCCGTGCTAAAAGTCGTAGGTCGTTATGATGGATGCAAAATTGTCTTCAAATTTTACGCATAACGTGTCACTCGTGACAGCAATGGTGTGATCCCACCCAGAAGAAAAAGCGATAATTGGTCAATTTAAGGTTTAAAATGTTGGGATAACCAAGATATCAAATTACATGATAATACTGCAAAAAACTTGCAGCCAAATGACATGCATTATTATGTTATCGAAACGTTATATTTTTTCGGTATTCTTTTAGTAAATAGGTAATATATAAGCATGTATAGACAATTTAAGATGATGAAATCGCGTGAATTTGCACGAAATTAACGTGAAATAAAAGCTGATTTTAATTTGATTGGTTTTCGGTTTTCATAAAGTTATCGACTTTTTTTTACATTTTATCATCTATGTTTACTTTGTTTTATCATTTATCTTTTATCATCTTTCAAATCGGACAACTCGACTTCCGAAATCTTGAGACTGCTATGTTGCAGCTGACAACACGATCCTTATTTTCACACTCAAGATTAAATCGAATAGTTTTGACGGCGCTCCAGAAGAGTGTGTATCAAAATGGAGGTAACTAATTTTATTCGCAAGGGGAGGGGGTATGGGGGGAGGGGGGGGTATATTCACTTGGCCAAAACAGACAGTCCCCGACTCGTTATAGAACTTAAATAAGAAAAATTGGAATAAAATTATGGCCTAACCCTAACCTGGTTCACACATTACAGGATTACCGTTTGGACACCCCTCTTTTATTAGTGTTCGGTTATCTATGATACATTTGTCAGCACACCCTTAACGTTTGCTATACGCTTGTGAAGGACAAGAGCACAAATAACAAATGACTGTCATGTGGGTTGACGTATGCTTGAATTTTTTATTAATTTCGTTTTTCAATTATTTTGACGTTTTTTTTTCAATATCGTACCGGGTCTTGAGACAATAAACAATAAAAACCACATATTACAATGCTAGATGAAAATTCGATTATTTTGTACCCTTCCCCGGATCAATATAGATCTGGGATTCCCAGCCTTTCTCTCTTTTGTGGCCCACTTTTGTTGCACAATAAATTCAGTGGCCAAATTAACTTACTCATGCAAGGGAAAATCTACAGTAGGAAGTGAAAACATTTTCTTGCTAAGATGAACACTCCCGCATTGATACCCACGTGCTGGGAATTAAAACTCAGTAGCAAAAACAACATCATCGTTTACTGCTTTTACAATCCAAGTTTACCTAATTTATCAATTACTATAGCAATTTTTACTTAGGTTTGTGGCCCACCAGGAAATGCTTCCGTGTCCCAGCAGTGGACCATGGCCCACTTGTTGGAAACCGGTGATATTGATCATATGATTATATAGACTCGTTTTCGCCGTCAGGGCTAATGCTTCTTGTTCAAGTTCCAAAATGAATAAATGTCTTTTTCAGTGGGATTTTCAAAGTATGTGAGCGTGTACCAAAATCCCTTTTGCGTTTATCCCGGAGAAAAAGACAATACGACGGCTCAATTGCATTACGGTCCTTCGCATGATTACCAGTCCAAGTCAGATACGGAAATAGTTGACCATTTATTCGTTTTTATGCTGCATCAATCAATCGGTCAAAGCGTTTTCTATTAGCCGCCCAGGCAAACAGGCACAAAAAAATTGAAGCAAAATGGAAAACATATACATGCCTTTGCCCAGAACGGACATGATGACCGCGAAATGACCATTCGGTCTACTTGTCAGCGGCTACCTTGCAAAAACTGTATCAATTAAAATTGAAGTTTCAAAAATAATGCACCAATTCTCATCAAATTTATCACCAAGGGCTTTTGATAATTTTAATACAATGGACGATGTATTGATGCCTCAACTGATCAGCGGTTACGAGAATTACCTTACGACGGCAAGGTGTTCAGAAATCCTCTCGGACATAACTATCTCCCGCGGGAAGATGTATATGCGCTTAAAAATTCCTCACGAAAACTATACCTGCAAAATAAAACATACTATACACTTACATCGAGATTCTGATAATGAAGAATTAGCTGTGTCATTAACTTCATCCTTTTCGTCGTCTATTCCCTGAAATTAACAATATATATGAGCTAGTATATCAATCAGATGGGTTACGTACGATACTAAATATCAATCCTTGATTCCTTCCTATAAGAAATGTTCATGTTCATGACTATTAAATCACTTAGCTTATGAGCTATTATGCTACATGCTTGATATGCCCATCAATCAATGTTCTTTTATTTAATTCAATACAGGACCTTATGGACGCGCTCACTCGAACCTGTTATTGGAATGTCATGAGAATTACCGGTTATTGTTTTTGCTTTAGACATTAGGCGATCGAAGCAAATAGATCATCAGCTGGCAACTAGCTTACATGGTAACATACATATATTTTCTTAAATCAGCTGGCAACTAGCTCACGTGGTAACATACATATATTTTCTTAAATGAGGTAACCTATTGTTAGTGAGTTAAATACAAAATAGAACGCTTCAGAAGTGTGTTTACCAATATGGAGGTACTTAATATTGTTCGCCTACTTCACATCAAGTTGTGTAAAGGGACTGAAACCTATGGGCAGGGGGCTCGCACAGAAGTCCCCGAACTCGTAATAGAACTAAAAAAAAAGAAAATTGGAATAAAATTATGGCCTAACCATAACCTGGTACATATACTACGGGTGTACCCAAAAGAGTATCGTTCTTCAAATATTGAATCTCATTGCTGTTCTTTAAGTTTGTAAATCATTAAAACATTTCTTACCATAAGTTGTATATCTACTGCCATTCTATTCATTCTGTGAACCATCTCCTCCATTTTTGTTTGAAGAATCTTAATCTGTTCTTGTTGTGATTGAGATTGCTGCTTCAATGCTTCGTGATCGGTGACCAATGCTTCGTGTTTCTCCTGAATGACATATGATCAGTTTAGACCAGTGATTTTCGACAGGGGTTGTCCAAGTGCAGTCCAAGCCGAGAGTATTTGTTAATATAAGTATATTGTTCAAATATAACCAAATACTTATTGGTTTTGTCACTATCATTAAACTTGCGACATTTCAAATGTCATTTTGTTTTGCTAGTATTTGGTTTGCTTTTATATATATTTATAGTTTATACAATCCAAACAATACCAATTAAACTATTGCACGGTGGTTCCTCGAGTCTTCGGAATGTTTCGCCAAATCTTTACCAAATATTGTTTGATCGTTTGATAACGACTAGTCTAGACATCGGTAATGTCATGTATACTTGACAAATGCAAGGGAAGCAAAGAATGAATCTTTGTTGGTAACATCGTTACGAGAACTATTTAGTACTTATGCAGAGTTGCGCCGCAGCGGTTTTTTAAATAAGCTAAAAGTAATTACATCATCGTAAATCAGTCGTATCAACTCTTCCGAATTACAAGCGTGACCCTGGGGAAAAGGACGATTAAAGACCACCCAAAACAAATAATTCAGATAGCTATCTGTTTATGTTTAGACAGCTATCAAGCACTACTTAATCTAAGTGGTCGTGACGTAAGTGATTATATAGAAGATCATTAGGACTTGCGCAAATAAATGAAAGAAGGCAGGAGATATAAAGAAATTGACCGACGAAGTGGTACACATGTTCGGCCACCACAAAATGCTTGCCCGAGGTCACGTTAATTTTTGACTTAAATAAGACAGATCATGTACGACATGAGTTTTTAAACTTTTTGGTGAAACGGAGCCCCTGAAAAGGTTGAATAATATTCACAAAGCCTACAGTACATTTATAATAATTAAAATTGAAAAAAAACGCATTGTAATTTAATGATGTTTTGTCCATGATTAAACTGAAACCACTTTCTTTAATGACTCGGATGTATTTGCTGCTTTGTATTCAAAAATATTTAGTATTTAAATAAGTAAGCGAAGAGCTTTCGGAGCCCCTGGGTTTGCAAACCATGCAAAACATACACATTAGTTCACTGAATATAACTTTTCAATTGCCAGTTAGTTTTAGATATTGCTATTGTTATTCACCGATAACTGCCATATAACAATTGTGAGACGTGTAGTAGTCATTTATTAGTGTAACACTAGCATAGCCGCGTTAAACTAAGAGTTTGGAAAATATTTTGGAATATTTTCGTTAATTTCTAACACGCAAATTAAATTAAAATGTAAACAAAATTTGTCGACGCTGTAATTTGTTTACTTTTAGATTTGGGGAGTATAAACACAAAAAAATAGATGATAAGACAGCGTTCGGTAACATATGCGATAAACGAACACTCTTAGCTCAAATCCCCGAGTGTTTGAAGACATTTTGACAAAGAAAATAAATACGAAATGTCAAAACGGTGTTGTGAAATCATATTATGATACTGCGTCGACGCCCTTTGGACACGACATTTATTTTCGGTCATTGCTGTTTGTATCATATAGGCTATGTGACACGACATTTATTTTCAATCATTGCTGTGTTGTTGTATATGTTTTACTGACGTAACTATATTTAGATATAAAATCATTTCATGTACCGCACATGGTTGCCCAAAAGTAGGTAAAGAGTTGTTAAAGTAAATATTTAATTAGAAGATAATTAGTAATCATAAATTGTTACTAACTTTTACTCTACTTTTGAGCCATCGTGAAATGCTACATTATACACGCGCAAGTATAACGGCCCCTGTTGTAATCAAAACAAAATGATAATTTAGAGCAGGGTGGTCCAAACCCAGGCCCGCGAGCCACATGTGGCCCGCCGCTTCATAATCTGTAGCCCGCGTCACATTCGGAGAGTAATCAAAAAATCGCATTTCGTGTTGTTTCGTCATAAAATTAATCAAAAAAATCTTTTGACATATTGTCATCACTGATGTCACTGAATTAAATAGTGTTATGGCTAGCTAGGGAAACTAGCGAAGTTGAATGATGTGCTTGGCAGTCTAAATTGTTATCTGGCTTTCTAACTTTTGGTCGAAAATATGCGCACAATATAGGCATCATAGAAAAGTAAAAATCGGATGCGAATTCTATTAGCTAAGAATCGCTATGCCTGATAACTATGTGTTTGCACAATAAAAGAGTTTGTTTTGTATTGCACTGTTTACCTATTCTTGGCACTATTGTGGCCCGCGAACAACGCAAAAATAATTTTGTGGCCCGCGGAGCCGACAACCTTGGACCACCCTGAATTTTAGAGTATCAAATATAGTTCAAAATCAGTATTTTCTCATTTTTCTACTCAATAGTAGATATAATCACGATGGATTAAATTCTTATTCTGTAATAATCCATACATTCCGAATAATAACAAAGAAAAAATACACTTCAAGTCAGCATCTAGAACATGATATAGAACTTTTAAAAATGATGTTTTTTCTTACGAGTACGGAATATCTAAATAAGCATTAAATGAAAATATCGTTCACGGGCAGATTAACAGACGAATGCTGCCAGCTATTTTAATGTATGTTGTATGTATTTACAACCTACGCGAATCAACATGGTTATGCCCAATAAAGTGTCCACTACGCCATTGCAAAATTGTATTGTATTAGTATATGTACGTTGGCCTTCAAATCTTATTAAATTCTGGGTGAGATGTATTCCCAACAAGACAATGTCCTATAAACTGACCATTATGACATTGCACTCAAAGAATAGTATTTTAAATAGATTCGTTTAAAACTGTAACTTTCATTTTAGCTCAGTAACATTACGTCATGTAATTTTCGAGACTATCATTATCAACGTCGAGAATCGAAAGTTTTGGGAACTAAAATAGCCGCCTAATTATACCTTTCTCTGAGTCAAAAAAAACTTAACTTGACAAAATCGCGATTGATTGCAGCACTAATTACATCAGGTATGTTTCCCAAAGCACATAGACAAATTAACCTTCAATGTACCCAAGGTTTGCAGAAAAAAAAATGAAAATTTTGCAACTGATTGAGTAAACCCATTGTACGTAATTTGCTATCTTGTTAGCACCATATTATGGAGATGCACTTTGCACAAAATTACGTACGTTGCCGATCCCACAACGATACGACATGATCATATAAACATGCTTAGGCTAATATATCTTCAAAACTTTGCTGAGTTATCATAGGATGGATATGAACTTAAACAATAAAGTTGATCCCGTGAGTGCTGTAGAAAAGTGATTATTACAGTATCCATTTTTGATCTGTGCAATGGCATCGCATGGAAATTTCCGGCTTCAAACCCTGACTTCACCACGGGTATAATTAAATTGGTTAGCCATTGCATAACAGGAATGATTCTAATATTTCCAGAATAGTACATGTTGTGTGATCCTACAGAAAATTTAGACACATTGTTCAATGTTTATCACAGAGGTGGGCAAATTACGGCCCGCGGGCCGGATACGACCCACCGAAATGTTTCATCCGTCCCACTTGATTCCGAATTACGACTATAGTTTTTATGGATATAAATTTCCGTTGGAAATTATTATATAAACGTTAGCCTAGCTGTTGGATTAGCTGTTGTAAATAAACTCTTTTTTTTATTCCTAATTTTTTCAAATTGAGTTTGAATCTTCCGGCCCTGTAACCGAACCTATTATCTGAAACTGGCCTACTCAGAAAAGTAATTGCCCACCACTGGTTTATAATATGTAATGGTTGGTATTAAACACTGTATACCTGCACAGATAGTAATTTGTATTCAATACAACTTTGACACAACGAATAATATATAAGCTCTGCCCAAACTTTTCCATTTGACGAATACTCACGCCTTTTGCTTTGACCGAAGCCCAGTACAAACATACCTAACATTTACCGTTAAGTATGAGGTGCTACTGTGTTAAGAATTATGGTCCAATTTATGGATCCTTTGTACAAAGCCCCTCAAAATGAAAAAAATGAGTAATTATTCGTTTAGGGTTAGTGTGAGGGCTAGGAATGCAGGTTGCGCTGGTAATTCAAATTTATATCTAACCCGACCTTAATTTAATAATTACTACTTTTTTTAAAAAAGGTGGCGGGGCTTTTTTTCTCAAATATTGCATTTTTGCATTACTGGCGAGCTTTGTACGAAAGATTCCAACTCATTACACCCTGGTCTATGTGAGGGCACGGGATCTGAACCAGAGGTGCGTAATCTGCGATGCAAAGACAGTTAAATCAAACGCATTAACCGCCAGATCATATAGCGCCCACGTTTGCTTTTTGGCCTACCCCCAATTTGTCAACCATCGCAAACATTTTCTACTTCTAATGGAGCCGACAGCCGTTGAAAGATTTTTACAGAATTAATGAGTCGCGTTAAAATTGTTGCGGGCTCAAAGGCTTGTTTACACAGCAGAATAACTAACAAATAAACAGATGTGCATGTGTGGTCACTATATCTAACACCATAGAGCAAAAAAAAATGCAAATAACCAGAACAAATTGGGTACTCCCGTAGTGTGTGTACCAGGTTAGATTTTTCCTATTTTAGTTATATTACGAGTTTGGGGACTGTCTGTGTTAGCCATGTGAATATACCCCTGTCCATGGTTTTAGTCCCTTTACAAAACTTGGTGTAAAATAGGCGAACAAAATTAGATACCCCCATATTGGTACACACAGTTTTGGATCGCTACAAATTGAGTGGAAAGCAGTCTTGACTATTTGATCCTGAACGAACCCAGTGAGAATTATGGTTCAATTGTGTTTGTGGGGATAATGAGTATAGTGGCCTCGTATATTATAGAACTTTTATACAAGGCCGGCCCAGAGGATCATCTTTAATACCAGTGACTGACTATACTTGATCAGACTAGGTAGAAGATTTTGAACACATCAAAAATGTATTTTGTACATGTATTTTATGACAATTTATGAAATTCTATATACTTTAATCTACATCCATAACCATTTGAAGATAACAAGAAAATTTGAAGATAAATCTATAG